TTCTAATTTACGAACATATCTCCTGGAAACCTCACATAAACTACATAAACATAAACACAAAAATATCAAAGAAAATTGCTTTACTATACAAAGCAAGACCATTTTTATCACAAAAAAGATTGAAACTTATCTACTTTTCATTCATACACAGCTACCTGATGTATGCCAATATAGCAATGTGCAGTACCCACAAATCTAAATTAGAATCACTTTACCTACGTCAAAAACACGCTTCAAGACTAGTATACAACAAAAATAAATTTGCTCATGCTCAACACTTATTGGAACAAATGAACGCACTCAATATATTTCAAATAAAAATTTTTCAAAATACATTTTTCATGTTTAAATATAAACTAAATCTGGTTCCAGAACATTTTACAGCACACTTTTTTAAAAACAATATAAACAAATACAATACAAGAGAAACAGGCAACTGTAAGATACCGTTTGAAATAACAAGACTCTCAAAATTCTCAATTACATACCGTAGTCCCTATTTATTTAACAAATTAGTTTCCAGAAACGAATCACTATTAAACCTAAACAACGAACACTCTCTGAAAATAAAGCTAAAATCTACAATAATTAAATTAAACAACTATAAAGAATTTTTTTTAAATATTAATATAAATAATGTTAAAAAATGTAGCTTAACTTTTAATACAAATCAATGAAAATAAAAAAATATATATTAATAACAAGGTATATATGCAGCCGTGCAGTGGTAGCGCACTTGCCTCAGAAACGTAAGATCCGTGGTTCAAACCCCACCTCTGGGCAAGTTTTGCGACATCGGTTGGGAAGGAGGCATGAACTTCCCATTAAATGCTCTTCCGCGGTGCTCTGTGATAAGACCGAAAGGACTTCTTGGGGCACCTTAAGAAAAAAGAAGACATATATGTACAACATACATATATACCACGTATGCAACTAATTTTTATGTGTATTACACGTCCAGAAAAAGGTACTCGATGACAAGACTGATTTAAGTCTTCTGCGAGCTTCCTATAACTACTAACAAGTAATTCTTCTTATCAATTTTACACAAATTTCGTTTTTTTTTTATTTATACACAAACATTAGTTTGAAATGTGGTAAATAAACTTATAGTCAAACATCTAAACACTTCTCCGAAAAATTAGATAATTTATTTTTATTTATTGTATTATTTTATTTTAACTGGAATAAAATAGAGATATATTTATTGGATTATTTTTACGTACACGTTACTACATTGTTGTAATTAGTGTTTATTTTAATCGTGTTTTGGAGTTGCATGCAACTATATTTTTGTTTACTTCGTATATTTCATACTTTATGTTTATGATATTTACGTTTGTATATCTTTACCGCCATTCTGTGATTGGTTACTTGTAAATACTTTGTAGTTATAAAAAAAACATGTAAAAAAAAAAAAAAAGACAAAAAAAACAATGGTGCGCAACAATGTGCTTACATGTCCCTACGGAAATTAGTTTGTAAAAGTTACGTTCTAAATAGGGATGGCAAAAATCGCGGAAATTTTCAATCCTGGGATTTTGGGATTGAGAAATTTGTCCCCGGGAAGTCCCGGGAAAATATTTAGTACATTAATGAACCTCTAAAATTAAGTTGAACCATGTTTTAACTTAATTTTGTATTAAAACTTATCTAAGACTTTTAAAAATTAATAAACCTAAGTATTATAAATTATAAAACAATAGCTTAAAATGGTAACGCAGTATAAATAAAAATTAAAAAATAATATAAATATGCATGGCGTTAAAAAAAACTTTCATAAATCACACATTTGAAAATTAAAATGAATGGATATAAAAATGGAACTAAAATTAATATACTAGTTTTAATATTATACTATATATTATATATAGTATAATATTAAAACTAGTATATATTTAATATTTTAATATTATACTATATATTATATATAGTATAATATTAAAACTAGTACATAATAAAAAATAACAAAAATACAAGCGCTTGCTTGCGGAAAGAGCAAGAGTTTTTAATAAAAGCTATAAATTAATTTTATTTAATTACATATTTTTTAATTATATATATATATATATATATATATATATATATATATATATATATATATATATATATATATATATATATATATATATATATATATATATATATATAGATATATATATATAGATATATATATATATATATATATATATATATATATATATATATATATATATATATATATATTATATATATATATATATATATATATATATATATATATATATGTATATAAAGCTGAAACTTTGCCTAGTGATTCCCTAAGGTATATAGATCACGTAAAAAAAATGCCCCATTATTCTCAACAGAAGAATCCCCTTTTTTGGGCGCTATTATAAAATGATGCATGTGTTAAAAAGTAAAAAAAACTGTGTTCAAATATAGACATGATATACCATTTTAAAGCATTTTTTATACGGAACAACTTTTTAAATGATACTAAAGTATTAAAATGAACGGGGTTTTTTTTTTAAGTGTCTATACAATGTTTAAAATTTAATTTAAATGTTTTGTGATTTTATATGATGTTATATTTAGTGTAGTGAGTTTGCTTTCGGAGAGAACTTTTTTTGTACATATGCATATTATGAAAGTGATGACATATTACATTTCGGCATAAAATCTCACAAAAGTATTAACGTGCATATTTCAATGTCAATTTATGCAATTGCATCTCAAATGTCAAATCTGCTTATTTAAAGGTGAAATAAGAAAAGAAAAGAAAGAGAAAAAAAGGAATAAATTAAAAAATTATTTTATAGATATAAAAATTAAAAAAAGTAAATGTAAAAAAAGATTTAAATAAGTATAGATTGAAAAAACAAAAACAAATAAAAACATAACACAAGCTAGAAGAAAAAAAAGTTCGAAAATAGTAAATAAAAAAATTACGGCAATCAAATAAACTTTGAGTTTCAGGTAGCGAGGTAGCGTGAAATATTGCGCTGTATTTTGGATGTAACATTGTTTCTCTCATCACGAAACATGGCGTTTAGAGGTAAACTTTATTTTTACTTAGCTATTGATATTTGTTGTATAAATAATCTTTTTTTTACAGATTCTTGTGTTATTAACAGGTCAAAGATCTGCTCTTGGAGAGCAAGAAAGTGGCAATTTTCTAGGAGCTCTAGACATGATTTCAAACCACATCAAAACGTTAAAAAAAACCATCTAGAAAACGTAGCTCGTCACCAAAAAGAGGGAACTCGAATGCAGGCACACTAACTCTCATGGGAATCACATAATGGGTTCATACGTGAGTGTGCTTCATTATTTCAGTGTGCTCTTTTAAAGGAAATGAGAGAAGCTAGATACTTTACAGTCATTATCGATGGAACCTCACACACTGAACAGATCACTTTTTTTCTTTGCTTAGTTTATTTCAGCTTCAACAAAAAAGCTGTGAGGAAAAAGAGCGCTTTCTTTGCGTTGAAGACATGGAGAGAAAAAAAGGAGTGGATATTGCAAAACTATTTTGTGATGTTTTAATATAATGCCGTGGTCAAGGTTACGATAACGGCTCAAATATGGCTGGAGTTTACGTTGGAGCACAAGCTTTAATTTTACAGAAAAATTCATTAGCCCTCTATATTCATTGTGGTGCTCATAGTCTTAATTTAGCTGGAGTACATGCAGTTGAATCTTTTGCTGAGATAAAGACTTTTTTCAGTAATATCCAAGCTCTTTCGTGTTTTTCAGCTGCAGTCCGGCTATGTGGAAGATTTTGCAAGAATCGACTGAAATCTCTCTTCACAAGCTTTCCGATACCAGTATTGCTAACAGCAAAACGACCCGGGGAAATAATTACTGCCATTAATCGTACTATAGAGGATCTTGACCTTACTGCTGACATGCTAAATTAAGCTAAGTCTTTGATAAAGTTTTCAAAATCCTTTGAAACTGTTGTCTTCTGACCTTTCGGTATAAAGTTCTTCAAGCAGTAGATGAAGTAAGCCGTTTGTTCCAGTCAACTTCACTAACAATAGATGACGAAGTTATTCTAATTCAACTGCTAATAAGCAATCTTGGCCGTATCTGCTCATCATGGAATAATATTTTGACTGAAGCGAAAACTGTTGCAGGTCCTCTAGGCTTTGAAACGGAATTATTGACAAAACGAAAGAAGAGTTGAAACGGTATCACGATGAACTTGCAAATGCAGCTTTCTGCTACGAGAGCCCCGAGCATTAATTTGAGGTAAACATTTTCAACGTTGCTCTTGATTATTTTATTTATTAGGTTCAGTCAAGATTTGACATAGTAAAAATGTTTCCTTAAGATTCTCATTCATCTGGTTGAAAGACCGAGAACCAGATTCTCAAGAGATAAAAGCTCGTGAATTAGCACAGTTCTGCGCTAATGATGTCAAAGAAGACGACTTCATACAAGAAATTTTGCATCTTAATTGTTTGAAGGAGTCTTCGTTTTTTATTCCTGGAAACTCATTGAGTTTTCTCAACCAAATACATTCAAAGAGTCTACGGCCTATTTTTTATATGTATATACATCTTAATTCGAATTTTTAATATATCGCCAGTATCTGAGGCAGAGGGTGAGCGATCCTTCAGTAAAATTAAATTGATAAAGAGTTATTGTAGGGCCACTATGGGACAAGAACGCCTTTCGGATCTTATGATGTTTTCAGCGGAAAATGAGTTAGCAAAGACTCTGTCATATGATGATATAATAATATAATTTTGTCGGTAAAAATGCAAGAAAAGAGTGTTTTATATAAGCCGTTTTTTCTTATTTGAATAATTTAAGAATGTCTAATAATGCATTTATGTTGTATTTGTGTTGCCTAGTTGTATTTTTTTAAAGACGTAATGTTTGAAAATATTGTCGTAAAATGATTATAACAGAAGTAAACCGCAATTAAGAAAATTTATTTCAAAACCATGTGCACTCATATATATGCAAGATTGCATTTGATAAAATTTTTTTTTTTAAAGTATCTTTAAAGGGGCGCCTACTCAACGCTATGCCCCGGGCGCCATAAAAGCTCTCGGCGGCCCTGGTCCTGGTGATGCTGATTGCACCGTTGTTAAAACCGCTCTTGATGTTGAAAACACAAGCTTGCAGCATGTAACTGTTGTGGCGGATGACACAGATATCGCAGTAATGTTTATTCATTATTGGAAAAACAACATGTCTGACATTTACATTTTGCAAGATAAATGGGATAAAGCTTGGAGTATCAAGGGTGCTTCTTTAAAAAACAAAACCATAAAACAACACCTGATCTTTGTTCATGCATGGTTGGGGTGGGACGCTGTTTCGTCTGTGTTTGGAAAAAGTAAAACAAAACCAGTTGAAAAAATATCGGACAAGAAGTGGCAAAAAATATCAGAAGTAATGGCAAGTCTATGAGGTAATCATGAAGAAGTTGGAAACGCCTCAATTGAAGGTTTTATTTTGTTATATGGAGGAACAAAAGGAAGTACACTTGTAAAATTGAGGTAATTGTTTTCTATCTACCATAGAAATCCTTATTTTATAAAAATAATTATCTTACTTAATTTATTATTAACTTTTGGTATAATAAATACATAGATTTAGCATACAAGGGTATAATATCCCCAGAGAAATATCCACCTACTGATAAAACTGCTTACTTCCACGGCCTGCGCGTGCATTGTCAAATAATTTTATGGTCACTAATTGATGACATTGAACTAGATGCAACTGAATGGGGCTGGAAGCAACACGACGGAGTAATCACGCCTATAATGAACGATAAAGACATTATACCAGAAGCAATAACAAAGGTCATTAGATGTAATTGCAAGGTTTGTTTTTAAATTAATGTATTTTTTCAAACTTCTTGAAAAGATCTTAAAAAATTTATCTATATAATTTAAATTTAGATATTTTTTATATCTAACTACAACAATTTCCTTTTTTGCTAATCATTAAGACAACAACAAAAAACCCATGTGGTGACAAAACAAGTACGTGCAGGAAATACAGAAAACGGTGCTTGCAATTTGTGGGGAATGTCGCGGAACAGAATGTACGAATAGCAAGGTAAATTTTAACAATGAAAATTAGAAAAAGACGTGTTCTCTCATTATTTATTTTTATTATCACATATAAATATTTCTACAAAATATCAGTCGTATATTTGCTTATATTTTTCCGTAGGGTAATGAAATTAAAGAAGAAAACGAAATGGAAAATTATGAAGATGACAATATGAACATATTATGTTTCCCTGGTTTCTAAATCGAGAAATATAATTAAAAAAAACAAACGGTTTAATTTAGATTTAATTAAATATGACAAATGATCATTTTAATGAAAGTTTTTATTAAAACTTTGAAAAGAAAATTTGCTTAATGTATTTATAGCATTTATTTTTTAAATAACTAGTCAGACTTTGATTTAAGTTTAAAAAGTTTAAAAAAAAATTTAAGTTTAAAAAGCTTAAAAAATGCTTTAAAATGGTATATAATAAGTCAATTTTCAAAAATATATTTTTTTGACCATTTTGGGCATTCATCATTTAAAAATTGGGCCCGAAAAAGGGGGTCCTCCTATTGGGAATCGTGGAGCATTTTTTTAACGTGATTTATTTACCGTAGGGAATTACTGGGCAAAGTTTCAGCTTTATAAAATTTTTTTTACCGAAAATCATCTTATTCGACTGGACTATTAGTAAAATACAGAAAAAGAAAGTTTTAAACGGAAAACATTTCAAAGAGAATAAATAATTACACAATCAAACAGCTACTATACCAAAGACTATATAAATATTACTAAACTACAATTATAAGCTTAAACCTTATTAATTTTTCCTTTTTTTTTGACGATCCCGAAATCCCGGGGAATTTTGGGGACTAATCCCAGGATTTCAGGATAAATTTATATGAAATCCCGGGATTTCGAGATCCCGGGATCCCAACATTGCCATCCCTAGAACTTCAAAATATGCTTTAAACTTCTTTTAAACGCCTTCTAAACATTCTAACGTAAAAAGCGTTTAAAAGACGTTTAAAATGCACTTAGAAAACGTTTGAAAGACATTTAGAACGTAACTTTTAAAAACTAATTCCCGTAGGGACATGCAAACACATTGCTGCACACCATTTCTATACATATAAATGAAGCCAAAATATCAAAGTGCTAAACGTTTTTAAAATTATTAACCAGTGTCATTAGCAAACTAACTGTAAATGATAGAATCAAAAGTAGTAGAAAGTAAAAAAGATCAAAAGTGTTATTTTTAACTTCAACTAAATTGAATAAAAGTTGCCTAATCAAAAGGTGAAGTTAGTCGACTTTAAAAAGTTAAAAAAGTCGAAACAAACGTCCGTTGAGGTATATCAATGCTGAAACTACAAAAAAAAAAAGGTTTAAAAAAAAAAAAATTATTTTAAAAAAAAGTTTATTAGTTTTAGTATTGAAAATATTGACTAGGAGCTCAAAACTTTACTTAAGCACCTGTGGCGCAGTTGTTAGGGTTCTGGCTCAAAATCAAGAGGTTCCTAGATCAAAACAGAGAGGTTCCCGGTTTAATGTCAACTCTATCCCAATAAGCAACATTGCTAAGGAAGGTGTGCACTTTCTGGTTAAATTGCTTTTAAAAAATATTTTAGTCCTAACTTTATATGTAATAGCATAAACAAAACTTATTCATGGTCCGCTAGATAGATGTGTTATACATTTTATTTCTGGATCCAAAGACTTCCGGGACAACTACACTACAGAGGAAATTGTAAGCACAAAGAAAGCCGCAAAATTTGGTGTATCCCAGATGCATTCCCAGCAATTACCTTAAGATCTTAATAGGTTAGCCTTTTATGGCAGTTATAGTTAATACAATGAAGAAGCTGCATGTTAGCATAAAACTTCTTCGTGGGAAGAACTTACTCCACCGAAATTAATAGTATTTCATTCCCGCTACGAAAAAACACTTTTACACTTTTTAAAGCTTTGAAGCATCAATAAAGACTTTTCACTTTTCAGATTTGTATTAAATATTGAGTGAGTTTATCATATCAATCAAGTGGCGCAACGAAGGTTATTAGCACCCGTGTTATTATAGATCTCATAAATGGACTTCATGGCAGAATACTAGATCATTTTTCAGACCAAAAAAGTTCTTGTTGCCCTCACGTTAAATTGAAATTTTCACATTTTTCTGCAGCTGATTTCGCAGCTGTAATCTGGAGGCTAGAATTTCTGACTTTTTAAATTAATTTTGGTCTTTGATTACGTTACTTAATTCATTCTGGGTAATCCTGCGCTTGTTTACTGAGGGTATCAAGTTTATAAAAAAGTAAGGATCTCACACTTTTCAGGGTTTAGGCAATATACCTCAAGCATAATCTGATTATCGTCAGATTTAAGATAATACTCTACTGGTGAATTAGGAATGGAGATTTCTTCTCTATGAGGTAAAAGGCAAAGTGCAGATAATATTGAGATTGTTGGAACTATACCATAAAAAATAGCAGTCTGTGACATGATTGTACGGTTCTCCATATCAGAGTAACAGCAAAAGACATTGAACGACCGTTTTTGATTGATTTAGTTTGGAAAGTTATAAACACAAGTATTAAAAACATTTATGTGGCGCATACTTTATCGTTGTCTTTTTACCTTATGATTGTCATTGATCTAGTACCCAAAACAACAGTGATAAGCTAAAACAACAGTGATAAGTTAAAACAACAGTGATAAGCTAAAACAACAGTGATAAGCTAAAACAACAGTGATAAGCTAAAACAACAGTGATAAGCTAAAACAACAGTGATAAGCTAAAACAACAGTGATAAGCTAAAACAACAGTGATAAGCTAAAACAACAGTGATCTTCTTTAATTAAAGGAGTAAGAGAACATTTCTTTGTGAAAATGTTTCAAAACAAACATAACAAAGGTTATCAGTGTTATTTACATATTTTTGATATAATGAATGACACAAAATACTTATACAAATTACTCGGAGGTTTGTCTTTGACTGAATCATTATTAAGGAAATTTTTAATCTCATATTTAATTTTTAATCTCATATTTAATTTTAAATTTTTGATAAAAAAAAATGTTTAATCAGTAAAAGTGATGACTTGGTACAAAGTTTTTGTAAACGTGATGACTCAGCAGGAAATTGTTATAAGTATGACAATTCAGCAAGACTAAAATGAAGATACCCAATGTTTAATTTAAAAATGCAATTTTTAAGTAAAACTTTATTATAAAAACTAGAGTTAAACATCATTTTTTAATTGTCATTGCCACGTGCTTTTTCAGCACAGTAAAAGTAGTTATAATTGGCTGATTACAATACATTTTTGCTATTGACTAGTATAGTTAGTCATAAAAAGTGAAACAGCCTTAAAATTTTAAATTATTAATTTAATCTAATTTAAATAATTAATTTAATCTAATTTAAACATTTAGACAAGAAAAGTTAACATTCTTAAAATATTATTGATCAAACTGCAAAGGACAAGGTTCGTTTTAGATACCTACGTTGATGCACAAATGGGTAATTATAACTAAGCAAACTTTAAATACTACTTGTGATCAGTATTTAAAGTCATGTTATTTTGGTTAAGAGAGACAATTTTACTTTAATGTATGGTTCAGAGAGCAAGTTAGCAAGAGCAAGAGTTAAAGTTGCAGAGGCAAGTTTTTGGACTTAAATTGGTAATAAAATATATATAGCTTTACTGATATTCAAAAAGAGTTTGTTTAATTTGAATCAGTCGTTAATGTTTTCCAGCTCACAATTTACTGAAGAGAAAATGTTTTTATATTAGAATGGGTATAAAAAGATTAATGTTTTTTAAAAAAAAAAATTAGGCTTGTTTGAGTATAGGTAGATATTATTTACATAAATCAAAATCAGTAAGGTTTCAAGAATAAACAACTCCACAGCTTATTGTTTCTAACTTTGTACATGTTGAATTATAAGTTTTTTCTTCTATTTTTAAGGTAACTTTGAAACCAACTTAAATTTTTTTTATTGCTCCACATATTGCTCCACATGTTGCTTCACATAATTCTAGTTTGTGGAGAAGGGTGCCATGATCAACAGTATAGTTTTTATTAGTAAGCCCGCCTAGAATTTAACTGGTTAAACCAATTATTACATACCAGTGGGCACGCGTTGTCCGAGGGACGTCCGTCGAACGTCACGCAGTCGTCCAGACGTCCTCCGGATGACTCATGCACACTAGGATGATTGAATGCCCATTTCGAAAATTAAACTGTTTAATGAGTAATCTTATGTTTTTCGAGATAATTATATAGTCTGTTTTACATAATACGCTTGAGCAACTTTAAAAAACAGGAATAAATAGGTATGATTCTGTAGTAGTTGGTATAGAATCATTGCCATTTTTGTAAAAATGGACTACTTAAATACCAGCTGTTAGTGAAAGATTAGAGAGAAAGAAGATGTAACTTAATAAAATCAAAAACAGCTTTTAGAACATTAACAATAACCCTGCACTATTTATTTTAAGTAAGTTAATAAAATTAAAGTTCTTTAACGGACAACTCCGACTCTTTCATTTCATAGTGATTTTTTACAATAAGGTAGGAATGTTTTTTTCCCAGGATTTATACTTTCTGAAAATTAAAAAGTTTTACTATTTAAAGATTTTAACAATTTCTTTCTAGTCAAATATTTCTTATTCATATTTATTTCAATCGTTTTGGAATAGCGGTGTTTTTTTGTAATTGTTTTTTAGTTTTTTTTCTTGTAATTTTTTTAATTACTTCCATTTTTTTTACTATTTTTTTGTGTTTATAAAAAAATCATTTAAAAAAAATAAAAGCTGTATAAAAAATTATATATAAAAAAAAAAAAAAAGAAAAACTTATAATAATTAATTATTTTGTTGGTTTTTTTTTTTCTATAATTTTTTATACGGCTTTTATTTTTTTTAAATGATTTTTTTTGTTCATGTTTTTATTTGGCTAAAGCTAAAAAATTACGCGATACGTAATTTTTAAAAATTCGTAAAAGCAGACATCGGGGGATTACTTGGTACAAAAGTTGGCATCATAATTAGTGAAATTAGTAGCACAAAATTTATCAAATACTTTTTATAATTACAAAAAAAGTTTATTTTTCCTTTTTTTTAAACTTTTGTTTTTATCTTATTTTGTTGGAACTTGCCGCCCCTTGAAATTCTACAGCGCCTGTATGGTAAAAAAACCTGGCTATTATGGGACAACTCTTATGTGTTGTTTAAAACAAAATGAAAATTTATATTCCCAGTGGGAATATAAATTTTCACGTTTTATACACGTTTTGGACGCCT